CCCACTTCCATGCTCCCCACCATAAGGATGATTCCAATCATCTTAATGATTTCCTAAATTAGCTCAAACAAGCAAGGAAATATTTAGATTTATTTGAAATTCAAATACTTTCCTTAGTTGAAAATTCTAAATAAGAAAAGTGTTTAAATATAAGTCCAATTTAAAATTAAATTAGATTGGATTTATTATTATCCTTCCTGATTTACAAAGACTTGTTTGGAAGCTTTTAAACCCACCACCACACCCCCTCCTCTCCCGCCTTCTTCCTTTCCTCAAGCCGCCAACCCCATCATTGGCCTCCCCATTGTTTTTCCTATTGAAGCCCCAAGCCTTCTTTGAATTTGAAATTAATTTCTAAATTCAATTCCCTCCAAATTTATTTAAATATGAAATTAATTTCATTTTTAATTAAAACCTCTCACCCAAACCCTAAACCTAACTTAGCCTCTTCAAGCCACCCCTTCTCTCCTTGGCCGCCCCCTTCCTCTCTCCTCATCTCTCTTGGAAACCCTAAATCTCTCTTGAATTTTGGAGCCAAGGAAAGAAGACAATCTCCTTCCTCCCTTCTACCATTGGTGCATGGCCGACCCTGAGGTCGATCACAGATTTTCCTACAATGCTCAAGGAGAAATCGACATCTTACTTTATCCTTTCTACGATACAGATTGAGAGTATGAAAATTCAGTGAAAAGCTACGTCAATCACATTCTTTATTGCCTTGTTGAGATGATTGAAGAGCAACGACCCAAGAGACATTGGCAAATCATCGGCCGATTAACAACTTCTTTTCATCCGGCTACTTCTCCGGCAAACAAGACCCTACGCGTCACTTGTCTTGAGGTGGCATCACTAGGGTTGCTTCTACCCTTTCTCCGCTAAGCCCAACTTCAAGATCGAGAGAGAGGGAACTTAGGGTGAACACTTCTTGATGTTACGCCATGAATTTTTGTTTCGTTGCTATTAGTTTTATTATATTATTTTTGTTGTTATTTACAATTGTCTTGTTATTCTCCTTGTAGTTGCTTGCTATTACTTAATCTTCTAACGGAAAATTCTAAGAATTCGACTTGGTGAACGGCAAGTTTTTAATTAGCGAAGTTAACGTTCAAACTATTGTTAATTTCCAAAAGCAATTCTTGTGCACTTGCATGTTTCACATTAGTAAGGCTTGGTAACATCTAACACAACAAGAACACGAGCGACTGAGGGCATTGTACCATTAGAGGTATTGTTATTCGTTCTTAAGGGTCGGCCAAACAAGGACCCTAAACCATGAAGAATATGGGGAGAAAAAAGGTGTGAACGAAGATCCAAATCGGAATGACAGGGGATTCCATATTAATGTCACAATGCGTCCACTTAAACAACTTCATGAAACAATTGCTAGAGAAATAAGAACGATGAGAGAACACCCTACAGTAAACTAAATCATTTATTAACTTAATCAATACATTCTTAGAGTTGAGCACAATGATAGAGAACTTGCCTATAAGCTTAAGTTGAAAAAAAAAAAAAAACGAATAACATCAAGAGGCAAACATCGATCGGGAAATTTCCCAACTAATGCAAACTCAGACGGAGCCGCCATTTCCAATATTTTGTCATCTAAAATCTGTAACGATAGTATACCACGGCAAAAGGTAATTTTAAGGGTAGGACAATATGGTGATTAGAGATCCCTGGATAGAACATCCCCAAAAGAATGCTATTTTGACTTCCCATCCAAAAGTTCAGAGTCAATCAAATGATTTACTGCCATTCAAATCGAAGAACAATCGAAGGAAGAACAATTGGAAGAAAAAACAGGAAGATTAAGGAGACGAAGAAAATTACCCTGATGGAGCAGGCAGATGCAGTGCGATAAATTTCATCAACCATGCACTTATTAGTAGAGACAATAGGGTTTGGGTTTAAATGCAATATGATTGATGACACTAAGGCCTAGTCTGGGACGATTCTCTTATTGGCTTCTTAAAATAAATTTTTAATAAATTATTAAAAATTTTTAACTAAAAAATCTCTTTAAGAAGCAATAAAAAAACAGTTCCAAATGAAACCTAAATTTAATCACATAGTGAGGCGCCGAGTAGAAGAAGAGATGAAAATAGAGATTAGAGAGTAAAGAGTGGTGATGAAGGTTACTGGAGACGATAAATATCCCAAACCCAAATGCAAAGACTGCAAACTAGTAGTCGGCACTTCAATTAACAGAGGCAACATGCAAGAGAAAAAAAAAGGAATTAGGATTTGTTGATTTAGGAATGAAATTCAATTGGAATGTTAAAGAGTTAGGGTTTTCAAAGCTTTATACGTCAATGAATTCTCTTGACAAAATATCAACCATTAGATTAGAATCCAATTGCTGTGGTTAGCATTTAATAAATAGGCAATTTTTTTTATAAGGAACTTAATTATTAATTAATTTAGTAATAGAAGCTTACTATAAATTACATTAGTAAAAGGAGCAAAAGTGGAAAATAATTTTTGATTACAAAAAATTATTTTCCGATTGTAAATTTCTTTTTGGTTTCGCTTATTTTAATAAGTTAACATTTTACATTATTGTATCTGATTTTATTTAATTTTTATAAGATTTATTAAATTAATTATTAATTGAATTTATTAATATATAATTTAATAAAGTTATAAATTTGTATTGTTATTAATTTATGTATTTTGGTTTATTTAAATATCTAAGTTTTTTTTTGAATTTTTAAAAATAATATAAATATTATTTGGTTTGAATTGATATCTATTATTTTAGTTTACAACTTGAAAAAACAATAAACATAAATTAACAAAAGTTATGTACATCATGTTTAATTTTTAAATTATTTTTTTAATATCTCCAATTGTTTAAGAATATATATATATATAATGTGAATTAAGAACATTTAGATAATAAATTAACTTAGAAATCATATATTAATTAATTTTATATATTTTTCTAACTATTAATCCTAAATATATAAAATTAAAAATGATACTTTATTTTTTACTTATTTTAGTAGTAAATTGCAAATTATTATTTTACCTTAAATATATGTATAGTTATATATAATATTTATTGTAATTTATATATAATTAATTTATATTAAATGAATGTGTGAAATTATTTCAACTGTTCTAATGAATGTGTGAAATGAATTTATGCATTCATTTTATTCAAATTAAAATTAATTATTATAGATAAAAATATATTCAATTATATATAAAAAACATTTATTTTAACATATTTAATTTACACAAATGTAGCTAATTAATTTATTTAATCAATGCCGGTTCAAATTTTTTTAATATAAATAATATTAAATAAATATTAATCTTAATCAATTATTATAAAACTTTTAATTTCATATTAAGTACATTATTTTAAATAATAATTGAACAACCTCATGTCATCTTTTCCTCACATGACCTCTTGGTATGAGAGAAAGTGAAAAGGTATATAAAATATACAAAGTAAAACTTCCCAAGCAATGTGGGACTAAACCATACAAAGCAAAGACCCATTTTTTGTTTCATAGTTTTAGCCTTTGTATAGTTTTGTATTATTTTTTTAAAATAATTTTTTTAATTAGTTTTTTATAATTTGAATAATATTAATTTTTTTAGTTGATAAAATTTATTTTCTTAGTTCATAATATTTAATTTTTTATATTTATTTTTTTTAATATTTTTCATTATATATATTATAAAGTTAATGTGGATTCATTTTTGTTTGTCAAATCACTCAAGTAAAACTTATATCATATAAATTATAATAGAAATAATTATTTTTTATATTTGAATAATATTTTTTAATGTTTTTTACATATTTAGATGTCCGGTCATAATATTATGATGTAAAAAACTTTGTAAATTTTAACATATTTACAAAACTTTGTAAATATTAAGTTTTTTAACATATTTGATAAATATTATATTGTTAAAAAACTTTGTAAATAATATGATAATTTTTTTTAACATTTTTAGATGTTGCCAAATGAAATAATTTATATAAAAATATTTAATTATATTTATAATTGTATATTATGAGCTTTTAAATAATTTATGTTTATAAATTAAATCTAAATATGTAATATAAAATAACAATAATTTATATGAAATTATATGGTTATTAAATTTCATTATTTTGTTAATTTTATTAATTTTTTATAATAATAATATTATTTATTACGTCATCCGGTTCGACCCCGGTTAGACCGGTCGAACCGGTCGAACCGTGAACCTCTCTTTCTTCCGGTTCATTGTCCGGTCCGATTTTCAGAACCTTGCAATTTCCATCAAAATTCTAGTCCAGATTTTCAACGGGAAGTAATATATAAGAGAAAATTTATAAGATATTTTTAAAATTTAAAAAATTTAAACAAACTAAATTTGCTTTCACTAAATTAGAATGTATAATTTGTTGCCTTCACTAAATTTATGTATAAACAAACTAATATTATACCTTTGAATTACAGCTCTAAATAATTTTATTCTCTCTCTTTCAAACAAATTATTGATATCAACATAAATTTTTTGAGCATCATCAGCGTTCCCGAGCTAATGGATCAAGAGGTGATAATAATAATCCCACATAACAGTTCGTCACGGAAGCTCTTCCTCCCCTCTCACCCCACGCTCGAATCCTTAGGGACTGTTTGGTATCCGATTTACCCCTGGATTTAAACAGGATTTAGATAAATCCAACCAAACGGTTTTCAGAGGTCATCTAAATCCCAAGCTTGTGTAAATACAGGATTTATGAATTTACGACGCAAATCCGTATGAATCTAAATCCCATCAAGAGTTGGATTTACGGATGAATTTGAGCTCTATTGTCAAATAATTTTTCAAAATTTAACATTTGTCATATCAAGCCTCAAAATTTACTAAATCCGATTTTACAAGATTTATTAAATCCGATTTTATAAGATTTACTAAATTCTACTAAAATTAAATCCAATCCAATACCAAACAGCCCCAAAAAAAAAAAAAAAAAAAAATCCCACATAAAAGAAGAAACGGACAAACATTTAGTAATAAAGAACTCCTTCCAGCACAAAACTAATTAAAAAAAATAAATTACAACTTTTTTACGGCTTTGCCAAACCGCAGCTTCCGCCACCGCCGTCGTCATGCTTGGCGAGATTCTCAGAGGTTCGGGCAAGAGACTGAAGATTACATTTAACAATAGTATCAACGAAGACTCTGGTATCCTCCATAGTATTCCCCGGTGGCACGTCCACCACATAAGACTCAACCACCACCGTCCCGCCTCCGGCGATCGCCGGAGCGGCATGCAGTGTGGTCACCGAGCGGTAGTTTAAGAGGCGGTGCTCACCGCCTACGACGCTAAAGCTTAGTACATGGCTATCGTCATCGAGAATCTCAAGGCGCTCGGTACTGGTCACCGCGGGTAATCCGGAGACTAGATAGACTTTCCTAAGTGTCCCCACATCGCCGTTGCCGACGACCACGTGACAGCTTTTGACGAAGTGTTTGTAAGCTTGCGGTTTATCGAACCGGCGGACAACGGACCAGACCGACTGAATCGGTGCAGCGATGGGTTGAACCGCCGTGGAAGAGCACTGGTTTGGTCCGACGGCATGTTCATGATGGCGAGCGACAGAGTCCGGCATGGAGTGAACGGAGAACGACAGCGGTAGCGTCGGCGAGGATTTCGCTGGAAGAACACAGGCGGTGGGAGTCAGGTGATGGAGCATCGGAGGGCAGAGAAGATAGAAAGTAGGGTTAGGGTTAGGGGTTTTTTCTTTTTTGTCTGGGAAGGAAAGGTAAAGGAGGAGTTAATATACAAAGCAGAAAGGTGAAGCCTGCCGGTTGCTAGTTGAGATTTCTTTTATTTTTCTTTTGCTAGTTGGAGCTTGCAAGTGGGTTCGAAAAGCTTTTCAACGACAGTTGAGATTTCTTTTATTGTAAGATGTTAACTTTATTTTGAACAATTCTATTTGCACAAATTCATGTTATTATTAACTTTATTGTAGCAATTTTATGATTTTAATTTTCTTCCCGTTAGTTTGACCTACCAATTATATTGATACATCATCTATTTTCCATAATGCATACCCAAAACACCTAACTTTAATTTTAACAGTTTAATCAATAAGATTTATTCAATATGTCAATCCAACATAATTATTTCTCATCATCCATTCTTCCTCAGATCTCTTCAAGATCATTAAGGAGCATATTAGTTTCAGATAACTTATGATTAGAAATTGCCTCAGATTCTTTTGTAAATGGATTTGTTGATCTCACCTGCCCAATCGGCTTCAATCCTAACTTATTCCAGCAAAAGGCCTCATTTGTAATTGCTATTGGCATGCTTCCCATATCCAAGTTTAAAAGAGTTCGTTGTGTAGTGGTGCTTGATCATGCTCTCAGTAGTGTGATGTTGCCTATTGTGAAAGTTGCTCTTTTTCAGGAGTGCTTCACACATCTCTTGTTTCGATTCTACCATATACATTTTCTTTATGCATCTACTTTCATTGCCTGGACAAGTGCCATACTGCCAACTATGCCATTATGGTTTTCTTCTATCTCAGGGCAAAATGCTTATTTGACAAGGCTTAGCATTCTTGGTGGAATGGCATTGTTCCCATCAATTTTGGAGGTTTTCTCTCGGTCTTTACATTGTCACTTACTTTAATTTGCAGCGGCCTTTCCCCCACTCAAAAATATCAAACTTTATTAGTTAGCAATTCTCTATTCTTTTGTTTTAAGAAGTAATGATTCCACATAGACTTTATACAGGAATGAATATTAGTATTATGCTTAAACCATATCTTTGCTCCCATAAACTTATGATGGATTAAGGTTCTTCTTAATTTAATGCATATATGTTTATGCTAAAGATGACTGATGATTAAAACCATATACAATACCAAGCATACCTGAATGGGCCATAGAAATTGGGTTTCTTGATCATTACTATAATTATATAGTTCTTCTTTGTTTTGTCTAGATATCTTTCATTTTTATGTTTCTTGCTGAACTTTTTCAAACACAGATGGTGTAGGGCATTCTAAATATTTTTTCTTAATTATACTATTATAGTAATAAGCAGATGTTTCTAAATGCAATGATGAAAATCAAAGGATAAGTCTTGGACCTTCTACTAACTTTCCCCATATAAATAAAAAGAAATCAGATTACCTTTCAAAGGCAATGGCATCTTCCTATATTGGAATACATGAATAGAAATTCTAATATTTTTTCATGGCATTTACAAAACACTCATATTAGTATGCATCTTAAGAGGTTTACATACTTTTCAGGCTAAATATTGATCCATTGTTGTTTAATACTACTAATGGATCAACAAAACAATCAATCTGCACAAATTAACTCTCGTGAGAAAGTAGATATCGCTTTGAACCATTTTACTGAGTGTAAAACCACTGATGGTAAGAAGCAATATAAATGTCTTCATTGTAGAATAATTTATATGGGAAGAGGCATTCATAGGATGAAGCAACATCTAGCGGGGATTAAAGGGAACATTGCTTCTTGTAAGAAGGTTTTACATGACATACGACTTCAGATGCAACAAAATTTGAATGAGATATCAAAGAAAAAACAACAAGCACAACAAGACTTGTCGCAGATTGATGATTTACTTGGTGAAGATCCAGTTGAAGAAGAGAGGGCTCATGTTCAGTCATGAAATCATAAAGTTCAGATATACATGGTAAAAGAATTGATAAAGGAAAGAGAAAAATTGATGAAATTGATAATTTTTTTGCACCTAGAACAAAATCGGGATCTCAACCTTCCTTAAAAAGTGTGATGACATCTAAGGAGGCAGTGCACCGTACAGATTTAGCAATTGCTAGATGGTTTTATGATAGTTGCATTCCATTCAATCCCATCAACTCACCTTTTGCACAAAAGGCTATAGTTGTAGTTGCTGTAATAGGACCTGGATACAAATTACCGTCTTACCACAGATTAAGAGTGAATCTGTTATGGGATGCGAAAGAGGAATGTAAATTGCTAATTGAATCTTATAGAAAAATATGGAAAGAAACTGGTTGTACATTGATAACTGATGGTTGGACAGATATAAGAAATATGACATTAATAAATTTTCTTATTTATTGTCCTCGAGGAGTTTCATTTTTAAAATCAGTAGATGCATCTGATGTCATCAAAGATGCCACAACATTGTGGTCATTATTCACTGATATTGTTGAATGGGTTGGTCCAGAGAATATAGTTCATTTTATAACAGATAATGCAACAAATTATAAGAAAGCTAGTGAGTTATTGCATGAAAAATATGGAAATATATATTGGTCACCATGTGTAGCTCATTGCATTAATCTCATTCTGAAAGATATTGGAAGCATGCCTTATATTACAGAACTAGCTAGAAAAGCTTCAAATGTTACAATTTTTATTTATAACCATGCTTTTATATTGGCTTGGTTAAGAAAAACGAAAGATTGGACTGAAATTGTAAGGCCAGGAGTAATTAGATTTGCAACAACATTCATTACCTTAAAAAGTGTCCATGATCATAAACATGATTTGCAAGCATTTATCACCAGCAAGGCTTACATTGATTCAAAGCTAAGTAAGACAATGAAGGGGAAAGAGGCAGCCTCAATTATTTTGGATGCAAAATTTTTGGATGACCGCTTCATAATTTCTAAATTATCAGAGCCCCTAATTAGGTTGTTAAGAATTGTTGATGCAGATGAAAAGCCATCTCTTGGATACCTTTATGACGGTATGTTAAGAGCTAGAAAAGCAATGAAGACTATGTTTAGAAATAATAAAAGAATGTACAAGCCTTTCACTAGTATCATCAAGAGAAGATGGGATCGATAATCAACTAAGACAAGGGATACATTTAATAACTTATTTTCTGAACACTCATTTTCAGTATGATAGAGAAAATTATTGCAACAAGCCTGGAGTTTTGCAAGGTCTAATAGAATTGATTGTCAATAAAAATGTATGTCCAAAATCAACTTTGGCAATAAATGAGGTGAGATTTTTTCATGATAATTTAGGAAGTTTTGGTAAGCCCATTGCATCAACATTAGCAAAAGAAATGCAACCAGGTAAGATGACAAAATTTTGAGATTTCATTTTAATATATATTTGAACAAATTAATGTATGTTTGTTAATTTATAGATGAATGGCGGAGGATGTTCGGCTCTAGTGCATCAAACTTACAGAAAATGGCTATTAGAATTCTTTGTCAGACATCATCTCATCAGGTTGTGAGAGGAACTGGAGTGTGTTTGAGCAGATTCATACAAAAAGAAGGAATCATCTTGAGCACCAAAGGCTAAATAATCTTATCTATGTTCGTTACAATCTCAATTTAAGAAATAGGTACTATTTGAAACTTCTTTAAATATTTTTTTTAAATAATGATGCACATTTTATTATTATTTTTTTATAATAATTATGTAGATTGCAGCTTAGAAAAAGAAGTTATGATCCTTTGGATTATGCAAGTATTGAACTTGTTGATTTCTAGAACCTTGATGATGAACCAACTCCAGAATTGCATTTAGAAGTCAGAAATTTACAAAGATGATGCAATTCCTATAAATATAGAACCAAATTTAACATCATCTACACCAACCCCAAGTAAGATTGTTGATTAATTTATATCTTTTGAGTATAATATTAAATATAGACTATTTCATATCAATAATTTGCAGATGAAGACAACTTATCTAATATATGTGATGAAGATGACATACCTTGTGAGGATGCAGAAGTATCTGGGATGCAAGATTTTGGTGAAGAAGAGTTTGAGAATCCATCATTCGATCACACAAATTTAGTGGATGATTATTAGATTTACTATGAGTGTTTTGAGTTTTTTATATGTAAACTGATATAAACTGATTACTTTTCTGTCTCTATGGTATTAAGTTAAAACTTTTTATATTTATGAATTTTTAGTTTGTCTTATCAATAAAGTGTTATAATTTTGCTAAAAGTTATGAAGAGGTATGTTATATGATGCCAATGTAATATTTTTTAATGTCTATTTTGTTATATATTTTACTTCGTTTTCTTTCGCTCATTTCATTTTGTAACAATTTCACATGATAGAGAAGGAGAATTTTGAAGATGGTTGCATTCATCAACTTCCAACACACAATAGAGCTCAACAAAAGGTATGTTATTTACTTATTTGCTTATGTTTTATAAACTTCATTGTTGTCATATTTATATTATTTGATTAGTTTGATATGAAAATGAAATGCATAGTGAATGTATTAGAGGAAAATTTTTCATTTATTTTATAATTTTTAATAATATTATTATTTATTACGTCATCCGGTTCGACCCCGGTTCGACCGGTCGAACCGGTCAAACCATGAACCTCTCCTTCTTCCTGTCGGTTGTCCGGTCCGATTTTCAAAACGTTTGTTCTTAATATTTATTTTTTAATATTTGTTATATTGATATAAATATCTTAATATTTTATTCTTGTCCTATATTTCATGAGAAATAATTTCAATATTTTTAAAAATTTAAATATTATTGACAATATAATAAAAAAATAATGTGCTAATTCATTTTTGGCAGTCAATATTCTAAAGAAAGCAAAATATAAATTTTGGGAAAGACTGTTTTTCCATAAAAAGTTTTTTTTTTTTAAATTATATATTATACTTCATTTAGTATTTGGTTCATTGAAATAAATAAATAAATAAGGTTTCTATTTTTCGGATCATATTCTTGTAATGAGTGCTTTTAGAAGTTATTTTTCTATTGAAAATATCAAATAATGAAAAAAAAGTTGGGCAACTTTTTTCACCCAAAATATTAGTTGTCTGCTTGTTCGCCCAATCAAATGATGGCTGTGTCAACTCTTCTGCCTGCAAGTAGGTGTCAAAAGGCTTTTGTCCTCGAAATAATATACAGATATGATCAGATAGGATAATCCGATTGAAAATTGACATAAAATTTTTAACTTTTAATCCAACCATTTAGTAGGGGGGTGTCAACTCTAACTCCACTCGAAAATCCGACTCAAATCCGGTCCATAAAATTCGATTTTGAATTGACCCGTTTAACTAACAGGTTGGGTTCGATTCTAAGTTTGAGCTAGTTTGAAAAATTGTGTCAGATACTCAGCCCACACCTCTCGTTCGCACCAGTGTAGTTTCCGCATTAGCGCATTGCTTCAGCACGATGAAACGAGCAGACCCCACTGGTGCACCACTTTCGCTCCGACGCCTCTGCTTGCTGCCCAGCACATCGCACTGTGTCTGCACCGCTTTCGCCTGCTGCCTAGCTCACCACATTTATAAAAGTAAACCCTATATATAAATAAGCCAAAATTCTAATAAAGATGAGAACAAATCCTATTTATAAACTTCATAAGTGGATCTTTTAATCCATATTTGAAATAATCTTTAAAGTTGTTAGCAACAAATAATAGAAATCACACGTACACTTAATCAAATTATAATTAAATGATGTTTTCCCAAAATTAGCTTAGTTGTCATGTCAAGTTGAGCTGACTAAAGAGGTCGACAATTGCCACATAGCAATGGTTTGACTAAACCCACCATCGTATTATCTACAATTGAAAAGCTAAATATATTTCACCATATGAGATTTGAGTAAGAAAGGAAATGTCATGAACATGAAATGGTTGGACTGATGAAAACTTTTTCTCCTTCCTTTAAAGTTTAGTTATTTATTTACATGTGTAGAAAGTGATAGATGGTGGGGATAATATAATGGAAATGATATGAGGATGAGTAATGAAATGAAGTCATAGCAAGCAACTATTCTTGACAATGGAGGCACAAAGGTTTTTGTAAATGTCCTTCAACGACCAAAGTGGATGATGACACCTTTCACAACTACTTTTGTGGAGGAGGAAATTTGATACAAGATAAAAAAAAAAAATGCATTTTTTTATATTAACTACTAAAAAGAATAACATGAATTTAACATGAAGATAAAAAAATCCTCATGGAGGTTGACCACCACGAAGTTGAAGTAGAAAGATCCAAATTACATATGGAAAACTATCAAATTTCTTTTTTATTCATTTTCAAGTATATTTAAAGGTATATGAACATCCCAAATCAAAGAGATTATATTATTAAAATAAAAATTATAATGATTAAAATTCTAGTGATAATTAATGGGGTGAATGATAGCTTCCGAGAGCTAAAGGGGTTGAATCTTCCATCCATGCATAAACTTTGAATTTCTGATGTCATTTGAATTTTCTTTTCAGGCATGAACCTTCCTTCTTCATGTATGTATCTCTTATAACTAAAGAAGTAATTTTGCTATTTCATGCTTCTATATTAACTAGCTACTTCAAGATGCGAAATTGCTCGAATTTGCTTTATGAAACTTGTATTTAATGTTGATTACTTGGCCTTTGATCTTCATGTGGATGGCTGACTTAGTTGAAATCATGCATGAAGCTTTTTTTTGCATAGAGCTTGTAAGTCTTGAAGTTAAAGTGCTTTGCATGAGCCCAATAATTACACCCATATTTCTTCTTTTTCCTTCATATAATTAAAAATAAAACTTCAACATTGAGAATAACATTATAGTAATTCAAATAATATCAAGATTGTGATATAATTGCAATATGTTGTAGAAATATGTTATCACAATCATTAGTGTGCATTAACAATTCTGAAAAAGCTTTTCAACCATGAAAAAATTGCCAAATATTAGTGGCTTTAAATTTCATCCAATTTTACATGTATCAACTCGTTTCTTTGAAACATATATTTTGAGAAAATGACTCATGAAATGTTGAAATATCAAAAGCGCATAAGCTTCAAGAAGTTTTTTTATTTTAAGATGAATTGCATAAGAATGAGTGTGTTCTAGAAAATTATAAGCCTCTAGAGCATATTACTAATGGTGAGGCAAGCACTGAAGGCTAGCCGTAGGCCCCCCTACCTCCATCATCAAAGATGGTGGCGAGGTTTCCATCACCATGATGAGTCTTCTCCCTTTACATTACATAATACCATTCATAGAGAGAGTTCCTAATAGGTTAACATGATTAATCCTCGAACAACTTGAGTGGACCAATCTAAGGCCTTATTGGGGTCTAATTTAGGTTATCTATGTATTAATAAGAAACATTGTAATATGTAAAATCTTATATTGATGGAAATTCACCATTTTATGCTTCTTTCTACTATGATTGAATACTACTAGATAAAGATAATCATTAATTTTATTTTATGAATTAGTTTAAAATGTATGTAGTATAGTAAATGTGTGCTTATTAGATAGGGATTTTCATAATCTCAATAGATTTCTCCTATTTCTTATTTCTTAGCTTATAAGTCTACAAAAACCTGTGCATTGTAATCAGACTTTTCAAATTTATTTTGATAAAGTGAATGCATTATGAATCAAGTCAAACACTTCATTGATTAGAATTTCTCTTGAATAATCAAGACAGACAACAATTCTCTTTGGATTATGGGTTGAGCCTTTTTTGTAAAAATTGTAAAATTATACTAGTAAGAATTTTAAAGAAAGAAGCATCTAGGTACATCATTCTAAATATATCATTAGGACTCTATGAATAATGATTTATTCTTCTTAATGAAGGGTGTTGAATGTAATATCTTTGATAATGCTTGATATTGATGAAATTGTCTTCCTTATGGGTATAACATAACAAATGGTATATAAGTGGAAAAGGTAAATTTAACTATAAGTTGCATGGAATAGTTCAAGCAATCAGATTAAGAGAAATAGAACAAAATAATGTATAGTAGTGTTAGGTGATGACATTGGATGTTTTAGAGTGATGAAATCACATAAATAAATATTAATCTTATGAGTCTTAGAGTATATCATGTGTTATGATTAGTTGATCAATGATTGCATAATAAAAAATTATGTGTAACAACTTCTAAGAGTTTGCTAAGTTGGTTATATATTATTCATATCTGAAAGTGCCTTGTCGCACTAAGAAGGGGGGGGGGGGGAATTGGTATTTTAAAACTGTTCTGACCAAATTCAAATCAGAGAAATATACATAAGATTTAAGAGATAAATATATTGTTTTTCAAACTTTTAAAAAAATATTTAAACTTCTTTTTTATTTTTTTCTTTCAACCAAGATTTCAATAAAAAATTTTCAATCACAAATTTTCTAAAAGATCAACCAAATAAACTAAGATAAACCCAATAAATTAAAGTGAAGGAAAATAAATGTAAGGAAGTAAGTGCATCTAAGTAAGAATGCACAAATCATATTTATAATGATTCATAATGCGGAGGAACCATAACATGGAGGAACCTGTTGAGTCTTGTAATTAGGTTGTTAAGCCTAAGTGAATGTCCCAAGACTACCAAGAGGGGGGTGAATTGGTAGTTTAAAAAACAAAGTTAAAATTTAAGACCCCTTTTTGAAAATTATTGAACCGAAATAAAATCTCTTTTAAATTTTGTAGAAAAAGGTTTTTCAACCACAGAGTTTGAGAAAAAGAAAAAATTTCGTCCTGGACGATTGTAATATCGTACAGACGATTAAAAAAAAACTGCTCTCAAAACGGTTAAAATGCACGCAAACCAATTTGATCTTACATCGTCCAGTACGAACCAAAAGTCGTCCTGGATGATTTTCTCCAATTTTTAAATTTTTAATTTTAATTTAAGAAAAATAAACTAAACATTTAAAAAAAAACATAGAAAACATAAAACAAAAACTTATACTCAAAAACAAATTCATTCAAAACACACAAAAGAATTCACAAAATCAAAAACAAAATAAAAACATAAACATCAAT